CTCCCTGGGACCAGAGGTGAGCAGTCACTGCTGGGATCTCAGCGAGGTGCCAGCAGGCAGAACGCATTTGTTGCCTCCAGTGTGTCACCTGTCCCACTTGCCTAGTGCCTCCTCCAGTCAAAGCAGGCAGCAAGGAAGAAATCAGACCTGACCAGCCACGAGGTGTTTATCAACAAAACTGCAGAGTGAAGGAAAGCAGCAAACCTCAACCCAGTCCTGAGCTGAAAAAGCAATAAGATCTGACAGTGAACAGCAGATCAAAAAGATCTTAGGCTCCCAGGGCTGACAGCATCTATGGTCCAGATTCTGCTATTAGATGAGCCACCTCCAGAGCTGGCAGATGGTGACAAGTGGCTTTCCACCGCTTTTGTCCTAAGGTTAGCCAGAAACTGTCTTGTCCCATAAATCAGTTACCAACAAGTCTTCGTGGACATGCTGGCATCTGAGAGACTTAGAAGGGAGACACCTCCAGCTACATCCTGTGTTCTCCAAAAGCAGCTCTTGCATCAAGGAACAGAGATTTAACGTAAATCATAGCATAGTTTGGAAGGGACCTTTATAGGTCATCTAGTCCAAATCTTGTGATCATCAGCAACTATGGGACCTGCTGAGCTATCCAATACCTAATGATGCATGGAAAGATACCAGCAAGCTGCCAGGACCTACAGGTACCCTCTGGGCTGCCCCATCACTGTGCTTTCACATGGACCCAGCAGCAGCTTCCGGGAGGTGAAACTGGGCTGCTCTTCTTTGAGTCTGTCACAAGGTGTCAGCGTGTGGCCACACCTCCAGACATGGCCAGGCTGTAGTGGTTGCTGGCTGACACTAACGGACTTCTACAGGTCACCCATCACCCTACTGTGTCATGACACCACCACTCACTATGGTCCTTTGGGTCCAGGGATCACTGAGGTCCGTGCTCTGGCTCTTTATCCCCGCATCACTCCTCTCACTCACACACGTGCTGGGAGAAGCACGGACAATCCCAGCAGCACAGGGCATAACCCTGGGCCATCGGGTCCTGTTTCCTCGCCCCATGCCGCAGACACATCTGTGCCTCCTGTGCCAGGACCCTCAATACAGGCTATGGATGCTTGACCGGACCCTGCATCTCACATGGGCGCCTGTGCCAGTTGATCAAAGCACTTCCCCCCGGGAAGGAAGCGAGGCGGATATCTGATAAGCAGGTTGCCTCTGCCAGCAGCAGTCATGCCTCGCTGCTGATCTCCAGCGATTTGAAAAGTGACCCACAGCAGCCTCAGCAGGCACTCGCCACACCAGCGAAGAACCGGAGAAATTCCCCATCCCCTTGCTCAGAACCAAAAGGAACGGGCTCTCCAGTAAAGGCTGGATCCGATCAACCCAGGGAGAGCCGCAGAAAGGTCTGGCGTAAATACAGCTTGCCCTGGGTCAGGGCTGCTGGCGCAGCGGATGTCCAGCAGACGACACATGTGACATCCTCTCCAGCACACAAGGGGACACAGCAAGAGCAGGCTGTGCCTCCTCCCTGCAGCCAGGCAGCACATCCCAGGAAGGGGGAAACTCTGGGACAGGAATCTCAGCACTGGCACTGGCCCCACACCTATCCTGCCCTTGCAGATGTTTAGCTTTAAACGGAGCAGCCAGGCCCCTGTACATTCACGTCGGAGCCATCCTGGCTGCTCAGAGTGGTCACTGTGACAGAAAGCAGGGAGCAACGGGGCCCATTCCCAAGCATACAGGGCAGCAGGATGCTCCCACCATGGCTCCATTAGCAAGATCTTGGTGGGACAGGGGAAAGTCAGGATAGAGCCCCAAGTTTTGACAAACCACCCTGGCAGTGTGATGTTTCTTGGGTTTGCTTCGTTCTCTCCAGTTCTACACACACACGGCAACCCAGCAACACCATTCCAGCATGTCCCACCGATGCTGGTCCCAGCTGCCCCAAGGGACAACAGAACACCACAGATCCCATCTGGGCTGATTTAAAGGAGTTGAAATCACCTTTACAGTTAAATCACTGGTGCTCACCACCCAGCAACCTTGGAAGAGGCAGCAGCAAACCCACAATCTAGCCCCGCTCTGACTCTTCCTGCCTGATGAGTGATGAGGAGGGGACCAGAGGATGCAACGTGAGCTCGCTCGGATGCCAGGAAAAACATTTATACACAAAGTCAGCTCCTTTTCTCCACCCACGATAACAGGCATGCGCTACCCAGACACTGCACACAGACCAGACAGCCGGCAGCTGGGAGCATCGCCTGTCCCAGGGCAGAAACACAGCCAGATTCCAGAAGGAGTGGAGCAGAGCAGCCATCCACAGTGGTGGAAGAGAGAGGACCTTACCCGTGCTCAAAGCCAGGGCAAAAGCTGTAAGTACAGAAGGTATGATTTCACTCACCGCAACGCAGCCAGGGCGCTGGCGAGCGGCGTGACTCCCAGCCCTGAAATTAATTAGCACCTTCAGTTTATCTTGGATGTTTTGCTTGAAAACCCCAAGATGCGATTTAATGCTCCGAGAAATCTGTTTTCCCCACTCTGGACTGATGGCTTCGAAACATAAGGAAACCATGTGGGACCACGTGTGAAAGGAAATGAAAATGAGAGGTAACAAAGTGCCTGCGCTTACAGTAAGGGATTGCGAATGGCTCTTGGATCTCTCCAGCCATCTCTCTCATCCCTAACCCTCATGCTCCAGCCAATTTAATTTTTTCGTGATGAATCAGTACTGGGAAGCTATTTTGCTTCTTGGCAGTTGTACTTTTTTCCTCTGCAAAAGCAGTAAGTCAATGAACTATGTGATGAATTATTGTTGTTGTTATTATTTCTCAATTCCATTTTGGCCACCGTGGTGTTTGGTGACTCATTTTTTCCTAAAAATAAGTCTTTAAAGACCCACTTAAAACAAATGGCGTGATGGCAGCTGCAAGCTGGTGTGGTGTTAATTTTGGAAGAAAATAGGCAGAAAAGAAAGACAAATCATGTAAAAAAAACAAAAGCCAGCTGAGAGAATGGCAATAATTAGCTGAATTCTGAATGGTTTTCTCCTGTTGTTATGGGGAGAAAGTATCAGATAATTTCACACCAAATTTTCTCAGTTTTTTATAATTGTTTTGGGACCACGCTTGAATGGCAGAGCTTGAGTTTTTAAAAGCTTTCCAAGAACTGTTCCAAAATCTCCTGTGACTGATGCTCGTCAGAGCTGCAGGCATATTTGGCAGAGCGTGCAGGGTGTTTCCGGCGCTGGGTCTGGTCCAAACCCTGTGTCCGCGCTGGTTTAATAATGGAGAGGTTTTGGCAGCTGCGATGGTGCTGATGTAGGACGCCTGGCCTTGTGCGACCCGCAGCCTGGTGCTGAGCTGGTGCAGAGGCAGCCGACTGCCACAGGCCCTGCAAACCCCATCCACCCAACCTTCCTCCCCAGTGTGCTACCGCCCAGGAGCAGCTCCCTAAAACCAGGCACCATGGGGCAGAACAATTACCAGGAGGAGCCGATATTTTCCAGGTGGTAATTTGTTCATGTGGCAACTCACTGAAAAAACCTGATATAGTTTTACCAGCTGATAAAAATACACCTGTAGAATCGTTTATTCTTCTCCCTGCATGGGAACAATGATTATTCTCCATTTAAATGTATTTTTCAGGACAGCTACATTGGTTGGAAGAGTGGAAACAGAGCACTAGCACATGCAAACTGATATGGGTCATCTGGGAAAGCTGCTGCTGCTGCTGTAGATTTATAGTGATCAGGTTGGCATAGCTCACCACATGTAGGGATTCATCTTATCTTGACCAGCAGACAAACGGGTTTGCACTCCAGAGGAAGGATTATACAGCAAAGCCTTTAAGAGGGACTGAGGCCTGCAGATAGATTTTCCTGGGGATGGGGACGATGTCCTATCTCCCCCAAACCCTTGCTGTGGTACGCAAAGGGCTTGGCAGCTCCCCTGGCCCCATTAAACCACCGTAGGGATTTTCTGCCAGTGCAGGCGTGACATCGAGGGCTGTGGTCCTGCTGGTTAACCCTGCCAGGTCACAAGCTGTCTGCTGGCATCGGGCTCCCTTGCTGCCATTTTGGATGTCGGCTGCCCCTCCGGCCTCACTGCAGAGCTGGCACAAGCTCTGCATCACGTGGTCTGGTAAAAAACAAAGGTGTTTGTCACCCAGGTCGCTCTGCTCCCCTCCCACCCCTACAGGTCTGACACGTGTTGAAGGACCAGATGCTTTAGTGGTGCAACTCAGCCCAGCTCTGCTCTGGTCGCTGGGGTTGTGCCCATTTACCCCAACCAAGGTCTCCTCTGTGATGCCAAAGGACCGTGTGAGTCTAGAAGCCAGTGAATGATCTCTGCTCATTTTCCACTGAGTCTCTCACCCAGGATGAAGGATTTCCCCACTCTGACCCATGAAATACATCCCCCTTAACTGTCAGGACTGCCATGAGCAAGCCCCACTGAATCATACACTGCTTCAGGCTTTGAAGCTTTTGGATGGAGAGGGATGCTGAGGTTAGCCTCAGGCAACGTTAGCAAGTTTGGGGAACACTTGCTGTTTCTAAAAAAAAGAAAAAAAGAAGTCTCTTTTGTCTGTGGTCAGATGGCCTTAGCCAGGGAAGTCTTTGTGCTGGGACAGTTTTATTGCACATGGCAAATAGGGGCCGAGAGGGAAGATGGAGATGCACACAGCTCATGAAACACCCGCTGAGACAGTGGTCATCCATACCAGTGGACGTCTCCAGTGCAAGCAGGAGTGGAACAAATCTTCATGCTAAATGCAATCTCTGCTACTAATATTGGAGAGCCTCACCTCAACCCCAAACCATGAAATTTACTTTTCCCTCCATCACCTTGTCACACTTCTCCCCCTCCTTGAAACAGCTCATATCTCCCCTGTGTCTTCTCAGTGCCTTTTTCCCCGTGTCCTGGGTCTTTTCCCAAGGGGTTGGCTCATTAGGAGGGAGGCTGAGCATCTCTGTTTGCTCACCCTGGCTGCTGTCCCCAAGTCCCGTGTCCCTCCCTGCTGCACATCCCCCAGCCTCCCCCGTCATCCGGCACGGTGACGACGAGCAGCCCGTTAGCAACAGGTGGATGTGACATTTCCCTTTGGCCAAACACCTCCATCTTCTGAAATGCCAGAGCTGCCAAGCAATTACCCAGTGCACAAGGCAGGCCAGTAAAAGGCAGTTAATTGGGGACACAGTGACGACAAACTGCCACCGGATCACTCCTCCTCCTGCCACCAACAACAGCCTTTCATGCATTTTAACGTGTGATCCCAAGGTAAGTTCCCTTTTACATGTGCGACACCAAAAGGACCAAGACACACCAGCAAGGGGACTGAAGTCACCCAGGAACATGAGGGTCCCCCCACAGAAAAGGGCTTGGAAGAGAGACCCTGGGAATAGCTTCAGAAGAGAAAAAAAGACGGGTTTACCCCACGACTGCCCACAGCCAGCCTGGATCTCACCAGAACTATGCCCATACCAAAACGAAAGTGGAAACCAGAGGCACCAGCTGTCCCTCCTCACAGTGGGATGTGTTACCCCTCGGAGGGAGAAGTGCCAGAGACGAGGTGAAAAGCAGCAGGGTCACGACTGTACTTGTGCCTCTGGGGGAGACATGGGAGAGTGGAGGGTGCTACAATGCCACCAGTCCTCCGTGGCTGCCCGATTTCTGCAGGGTTAAGGCTCCGTGTAGCCCTTAGTCCCCAGAGCAGCTTTCAAGCAGCTTTACATCTCAAATCCTACCTGAAAGGCATGAAATTGGACCAGGACACTCTCCTTTATGGCCAGAGGGAAAATGGAGCAAATCCACATCTGCGCCCCTGCTTTTAAGAGCACGCAGAGCTTCCCCTTGGGAACAAGCCACCTCAGAAAATGGAAGACCTAGCCTGTACCCTGTGGCAGCTGTTTCGCCCCTTGGCAGCAGTGAGCCTGTGCCCAGCTGCAGCCAGAATCAACAGGGACTTTGTTGTCCCAGCAGAACTGGGGCTGCTGCCACGGAGCATCCTGCACTGACGCTGTCGGCCACCCACACTTCCAGCCTCCTCTGTCTGTTGGGATGTGCGGAGCCCACTGAGCCCAAGAGGGAGGGATGCCTCCATCACACAGCGAATGCCTCCAGTGATTCCCAGGGCCTGACTCTTGAACGCACTCCAAATGCAGCCTGTCTGCCTGTCCTCCAGCATAAGAATCTGGCACTGCCCTACCCAGCCAGCCCCAGACCACCAGCAAGGGGAAGAAGGCAGCAATTGCCTGCAGGTCTTGGCTTCAGGTGATGGAAGGAGAGAGAAGGAAACCCCTAGAAGAAGAGTTGTACGACCCTAAACCCAGGCAAAGCCAGTGCAGCCAGGTCAGACCATGGGTCTAGGAGGGTGACTCCATCCTAGTAGCCAAAATTAATCACTTGACACAACCAGCCTGGAGGCACTACTTCCCTCTTGCTTGCAGAGAGCCGCAACCCCTCCAAGCCTCTAAGAGCCAGAGACTTTCCCAAAAAAGACACGCTAGATGCCACAGCACAGCCAAATTAGGCTACAACAGTTAGTGGCTGCCAGTAATCTCACATAGACCATTTTCTTCAGTGTTTCCCAGCATATTAATGGAAATCCTGAGCCTAAACTGCACTGACCTCATACAGCTCTGTCAGCTGTGCTGCTTGGGAAAACAAAAAAGGTCAAGCAGACTTGCAGAGCCATGCCTTTCCCCTCTCAAAAGCTCCTTAAATCTTCATTTACATTGAAGTAGCTTTGTGTTTCATCTGAAAAGCAACTGCTCCAAGGCATAATGTGAGGCTCCATCAGCCCCACCAGCCAATGCATCAGCTCCAACCCTTGCACTCATCTCCCCAGACTACAAGGAAGCAGCTAAGTAGCAGGGCTAATATCAGTCCTGGCAGCTGCCAAACGCTGCAGGTCAGCAGCAGAAGGGTTAGTCTGCAAGCTGTGCTGCCTTTGGCACCTGCTACAAGCTCCTAAGGCCAAATTTTTTGAAGGGGTGAATCGTACACCCTGGGGGTTGGCAGCTGGAAAGACCGGATCCCAGGGACACGTATCTGTGCTCAGGCGATGCCTTAGCTAAATAGCAAGATGCGATGTATAATTAGGGCTGAGATGAATTAGTAGAGATTAGAAAGGAGCTGAGAAGTGACGCAGCAAGGTGGGATGAAAGTTAGACCTTGGGACCATGAACCTACCTGGAAAACCAGAAAGAAATTGAGTTGGTTAGTCAAGAGAAGAGTGTGCTGCAGGGATGTGATGGCCACCTCTAACCAGCCCTGTGGCTCAGCAACTTGAGGAAGGGCAAGGAAGCTGATGACATTCCAGCTTTCATTTCTCACAAGTATAGAATACTTGGAAAAAGTTCAAGCAAAGAAAAGGAGAACATTGTTTTCCACATCCCCTAGAACAGGATGAGGAATTCTAAGCTTGGTTTGCAGCAAAGGGGTGTGGGACAGACACTGAGGAACACCTGGCATAGGAAAGGCTGTGATCCTTGGGATCGCAAAGTTCAGCAATACCAACCCTGAGGAACACGAGCGGCTTGGGAACCTGCACCAGTTACAACCCCAGCCTTCCTGCGGAGAACCAGAGCACACTCACCTATCCTGGTGGGGAAGATGTCCTCGTTGTTAATGAGCATCTCAATCCAGTCCATCAGCATACACATGTACTGCGGAGCCGACAGCTTGGTTGGCTTCTTGTATTTGCTATCGTCCTGCCACCTGTACTCGTACTTGAGTCCACCAGACATGATGGGGCAGCTCTTTTCGGTGCAGTACTCCGACATGGTGCCATAGATGAGGTTGATGCGGTTGAAGAAGTCCACCACGTGCACGGCGATCCAGTCATTGATGCTCTCACCAGGAGGCAGCTGCACCACAGACTTCAGGTCCAACCCGGACTTGAGGGAGGCCTGGGCTTTCTTGTACAGCTCAAAGCGCTGGGTGCCCGGCTCAAACTTCTTTCGGGGACGAAATGTTTTGTCCTTGTTGAAGACTTGCTTGAGACACAACGCCATCATGGGCAGGGCTGGCCAGGGTGAGGGCAGAGGCTCAGCACGGTGTGAAACGCAAGGCTGGAGTCTTCAGAGGTGGAGGTTCCTAGGAGGAGAAAGAGAAATTTTGGTCACCTATGAAGACAGCTGCATATGTGGGCACGCTTGCAGGGACAAATTCCCACCAGGATGCTGGCTGGCCCTGCTGCTGTAGCAGCACATGAGGACAGAGATTTGGGGTGAGCTCCCAGCCCTTCTATACTCACCGAGGTGACCTGGAGCAGATGCTGCCACCTCCTACAGCAGCTCCTGGCACCTGAGAGGATGAGCACTGCTGCACATGCCCCACACAAAACTCGATGGCAGACGGAGCCCTTCCTCCCTCCAGAGCACACCGAGAGCTCATCAGGCTCCAGCCAGCCTCTTACCTCCGGGGCTTTTATCAATAACTGCTGCGATAAGCAGGAGCCACGATATCAGTGGAGCTCGCCAGCCTGGACAGTCCCAACCTGGAGACGCCCTTTCCTCTTCCAGCAAAGGGGAAGCGTCTCTTTCCCAGGGATTTCTCAGTACGAACCACCCCTGACCCTGCCGCGGCGGCTGGCGAGTGATGCCCCGGGGACTTGGCTGCGACCGCAGCCAGCTGCTGGTTCACACAGCCCCAGCACCAACATCAATGGGAAAAGGGGGGATTATTTTTGTTGTCCTGCCCCATGTGTTTGTTCAAAAGAACAAAACCCGCATCCAAAGAAGGGAAATGGCAGCCCAGCACGGCAATGCGACGACGTGCCAGGATGCGGCCGGCCCTCCAGCCACGCACAAAATGCACACAGGAGCAGTTGGGGTGGCCAGTAGATGCTCCGGTGACTCGGTCTGGAAGTCACAGCTTGGCAAAGTGCTGAGCTCACCCCTTCCTGCCTGAAGTTAGCAGCAGAGATGAGGGCTGCAGTATTTTCCTTTTTTTTCTCCTTTTCCTTCCTGAAGGTGCGGTGGAAATCCCATCCACCTCAGGCTGTCCCGGACAGGCTGAAATAGGCTTGTGCATTTAGTTGCCCACGCTCATCACCGGTGAAAAAATCACCGTTGCTCTTTCTCATCACATGGAGAAAGAGTTAAAAAAAAAAAAGGAAGAAAAAGATTCACGGAAAGGGGAAGTGACCCAAAGTCACGAGCAGGAGGGAATAGTGCCCAAGCCAAACCTGGATGCATGTTCATCATTAAAGAGACAGATTTCAGCCAAAACCTTGCTGTATAAACTCTGTTATCTAAACTTAGTCCCGAGCCACAGGCAGACCCTATTTTGCCCATCAGAGATCAGCTAAACATCTCACAAGGGAATCCCCTGCTCCCCTCAAAGCCCACCCATGGGAGCATCACTGGGAGGGAGCAGGACCTAGCAATCACCCCAGACTCCAGCAGGATCTGCCCTGCAGGGATTTCTACACCACAGCCAGTGTATGGCTGCAAGGGGAAAACCCTGGTGTGGGTGTGAACCCTGGCATGGGTGTGAGTGCGAACCCTGGCGTGAGTTGTTCTCCAGAAATTAAATTTAACACAAAGAAAAAAACGTATCCTGGGATTTACAACCCAAAGAAGCAAGGAAAGGTGCCGGGCTAAAAACAGATTTCTTCTCTACCTCATTCCAAAGCTTTCACTGATCAGAGAGATGGATGTGCAGGGAAGGATGTGAGCAGTGTAGGGAGGCAGCGGCACGGAGGTCAGGACTGGGGCTTTAAATACCAGCTTGGAGCAAACAGGCTCTGCAAAGTCACCAATACCTCAGTTTCCCCTCAGGCAGGAGCCCAGCACCCAGTCCTGCTTTCTGGGAAGAAAGGCAAAGCCTTTCAGGAACCGACCCAGATGCATCCTGAGTCTAACTGGTGCAAAAAAGGCATCAGCAGCGAACCAGATTTTCCCGGTGTCCACCTTTATGCATCCAACTCAGCTAGTGTTCCACCATCCCTGGCTGAATGTTTGGGGCAGGTCCATGCAAAGAGATGGAAAATGGGAGATCTTCCAAGGTTTAGATGTGGCACAGAGTCCAGCTGAGCCCAACGTTCAGGACTGTTGCATTCCTGGAAATCAGGCAGCGGTTCGCTGGGGCTTGGGGTGGGACAGGAAACCCATCCAAGTCCAAATTGCCACTCGCACTGCCCATTTTGGGAAATCCGAAGGGCGAGCTGCCATTCAACAAGCTTAGACAGCAGCTTCCTACGACATGACCATACACATCCCACTGCCGGTCTGTGCTGGCAGGGCCTGGACTGGTGCTGCAGCAGCAACCTGCAGGTCTCTGCCCTTGGTTCCCACGTGCAAAATCAAAGCTTTCCCCAGAGAAGCCTTGGCAAAGGCTGCAACCGCACCTCACTGCGCTGCAGTCCCATCATGGGGTGGTGCCAGCACCCTGGGGGCTCACACATGAAGCATCTGCAAACCCTCAAATCAAACCTTGTCCTGCTGCCGGGAGCGGATGGGGAGTGAAGCAGGCGGCCGTGGAGCTGGAGGCTTTCCCTGCTGTCACCCCATGTCCCCATCAAGGATGGTCAGAGGAGGATGAGCAGAGCTGCCGGGTGGAAAGAAGTTGCCATTTCCCATGGGACATCCACGCCATGGTGTGCTCAGTGCTAACCCCATCCTCGTGCCCAAAATAGCCTCAGCTTTGCAGAGGGCTGGCTTCAGACCCAGCGGAGTGGCCGCAAAATGCTGTCCATGGCTGCAGATGCTGCTGGCTTCAGTCTTGCCCCTGTTTTTACCGGCCGCAGCAGAAGCGAAACTCAGTGGGGTTTAGTAAGAACCGAACAAGCGCAGGGTTAAGCTCTGCAAGGGCAAGGCAAAGCCGCTGTCGGGGACATAACAGGCAGAGACACATGAAAAACTGATTTCCTAGATTGCTGGCAGGTCCGGAGACGAAAGGAAATGAACTGGATTGGGAGAATGTAAGTTCAGGGTCAAATTGAGCCACTAATTTCAGGTTTGAGGGCTGTTTTGGTTTTTTACTTTAGCTTTTTTTTTTTCCTTTTTTTATCATTTGAAAACCACAGAGGAACATGGCAAAGCAAAGGCTTTGTTGTAAATTAAAAACAACTCTGCGAGGTCTGTTTAGAAATTGGCAAAACAAAAGGGGAAAGCAGGCAGAGCGGCGGGAGTGCGGGCTTCCTCCCCCCAGTTCTGCAGACACAAGGCAAGGTCACCCACAAAAACCTCCAGTTTTGACCCCAAATAAGCTTTAGTCAGAAACATAGCAGGAAGGATCAGTCAGATGCACTGCCTGCCGCCAGGGTGATGGGCACCAGGGACAGTCCTGTGCTCCCTGCCTCAGTTTCCGCAATTTCATCTCCCTCCCTGGGCTGCCTTTATATTAAGGGCTGCAAAAGCAAAGGCTTCAAGGGGAAATGTGCTTTGCAAGTTTCCCTGGGAAGCATTAGTGATCATGGAGGGTGAGCAGAGAGGAAGGCTCCGACACTGGCATCTCCCGTGGCCCTGATGCCAAGTGCATCCTCTCTGGATCCAGCCCGAGACAGTTACACACTTGCAGAAGCATCTGACTGGAAACCACAGGCAGCTGCTTCAGCAGCTCGCTCCAGCCCTCGCCGGCAGTCGGGGAGCACAACGAGGGGTCCAACGCCACGGGGAATTCACGGGGAGACTCCGGCTCCCACTGCTTTGGCAAGAGGCTGTGGAGGGAGAGAGTGGATCCACGTGGCTCCAGGCACCATAAAGCAAAGAGGAGGCTAAATACTACCAGTCCTGTACATCCTCCTCAGTATTCCCCGGGGGGGATCTTGCCTTTGGCCACCCAGATGACTACTTCTGCTTCCCTGCTTTAGGGGATTCCCTTCTCCCCACCAGCAGCATAAAAGTCCCATCCTTCCCTGTTCCCAGCAGAGATGCAGGACATGTATCAGCTCAGCCGCCGTCTGCCAGAGTCCTGAAACAGCTAGCCAGCCTGCAGATGGACAGTCTGACCAGAAACCAGCTGGCCCCAGGGATCGGTTGGCTTTCCACTACTCTAGGAAGCGTTACTGTCTGGCTATGGACTCGACAGTCCTGACTTTGGCCTTCCCTTTGAGCCCTAGAGAAGTCCTGTTGCAAAGTTTGATCTTCAACCTGTCCTAGAGCGTCTTTGCAGCTGGGCCTTCTTTGTGGCGGACTCAAAAGCGTATCAGAAGCACCCCAAAGGCCAAAGTTGCCTTTCCCAAGCATCCCTTGTACTGCAGCCACCTCAGCCCCAATCTAGCCAGGGGCTGTGGGCATACGGGGCTCCTAGAGCGAAAAACACATCCCCACTTTTCCAGCCTTTGCAATAGCCACGTCTGGTTTTAACGATCCAAGGAAGGGGGACTGCAGAAGGATGATGCTCAGCAGTATGGTCCTGGGGTGCTGGCCCCACTCCCTCTGTGTTTCCTGCTGGAGCCAAGCCCCAGCTGGGCTGTCCGTGAGAAACGGGGTTATTGGCTGCTGATCCCAAATATAACACAAACGATGGAAAATTCCAGGAAACGAGCCAAGACAAGATGCCGGGAGGGGGATCAAGGCTCAGCAGGCGGGCTGGGGGAGCTGCAGAGAAGTCCTGAGCTGTCGGCAGCATCTCCCCTCTGCCAAACCCTCCTTGTGCAAACCCCCCCGGTGCCACAGAGACCCACAAGAGGTGCGAGCATCCTCCGAGGCAGCCTCTGAGCACCCGTCTCCGGAGCAGCAGCAGGACTCAGTCCCCTGCGCCCCAGCCGGGGACAGCTGCCAGCGGGAAGCCCACGCTGGTGCTTCCCCTCCACCTTGCCTGGTGCTCGGAAATCCCCAGCTCGTGCAAAACAGACCCAGCACAGCTTCTAGGAACAGGACCACGCACACCTTGGCTTGCCCCCCGGCTGTCCCCACTGTCCCCTCACTCTGTCCTGCTCCTTGCCCTGCCTCTCTGCCACGCCACCAGCAAATCAGGAGCTTCCTGGGGACCACAGCCTCGCCCAAGGCAGAGAAAAATTTTTTCCCAAGTCACCCAAGACGTCTCCAAGAAGAGCAAAGCCCTCTCT